GGGGGGGGGGGGGGGGGGGGGGAACTCGGGAGAAGAGGGGACAATCAGCCAAATGCTGGTGTGGGCACCTTTTCAAACGCAAAGGCTAAATAGAGACCTGTGGACGAGCGGCAAGGTTACGTTCATCAGCAAGCGAGCGGCCCTTCTGCATCGAGCATGCCTTTTTGCACAAATTTTTGCGCGATACTCACTCGCAGCTTCCCAAAGCGCAGGTTGCATGGGTATCGAGCAGGTCGATGGATGTGCAATGCGCATCGCGCCGAGCAGCCTATGAGCTTCCGAGTCCCTCTGTTCTCCAGCCTCGAGCCACACCTCTTCAAAAGTCTTGCGGTAGATCAATCGAAGACCCATCTGATTTGCCAGGCTGCAAGCGTGACGCTGGATAGTCAGCCGACTCGCGCACTTCCCGCACGCTGTTTCAATGTGGCCCCTCACCTTTCAAACTGCTCAAAATCGACGACATACTCATCGCACTCGTCGATGGCATCCTTGAGCCAGAAGGTATACTTGTGGCCAAACGCAGGGCACGTCTCTTTCTTTTGTGGCGCTGTAGGATCAAATGAGACGCGAAAGTACTCATTGCCAAAGGACAATTCGTCGTTTGGCAGCGCTTTGAGATCTCGCCTATTGCGATCGGATGAAAGCGGTAAGCTTGATGGAAATTTTGAGTAATATGAATCAATCGGAAGTGTCCCTCTCACCTCAATCTGTCAGCGTCGGGAATGGTCCCGATAAAGATGCCGCCCGGCTTGAGGTATTTGGCCACGTTCTCCAACATCAGGTTGACTTTGGACACCTTGTCCCAGGCGTAGTGCATGCAAAATTGCAGCGAGACATTGTCGAAGAGAGGCTCAAGTATGCTTGCGGGGATGTGCTCAGAGACCGCACTGCCGAACGCATCGAAAGCAAAGAATTCCGCGTGATACGTCTGCTTTCGCTCATCGTATCTTGCCTTTGCCTGCTCAATCGATTGGGCGGCAATGTCTGGAAGTTGCAGGAGAGAGGTGTTACTTAGCAATTAGTGCTCGAATTCCATCCCTCCATTTCACACTCACCGACGAGCACGACCTCTTGCACGTGCTTTGCGTGCCATTTACGCAAGTCGCCCCCCTTTCCCGCTCCAAGATCGAGCACGCGACCGTTCCGCGCGCCAAACTTGCTTATGATTGTGCTCTTCACCCAGTTGTTGAACTGCCTAAGCGGGAGAATGGGGCTTTCTCTCCTAGCGTCAAGGCCAGCGTCTGGCCTTGCGTTGTAGTGAGAAGCTACTGCAGACGCTCCAGAGGCACTGCTGCTAAGATCAGGCTTGCGCGGCAAGACGTGTACCGAAGCCGCGTTCGTGCGCAAGCCGCTGCGAGAGTCTTTAGACGCGGGGCCCTTCGCTCGCGATTGTTGAGCATCCCCATCAGCCTCAGCGGCGTATCGCTCAAACATCTCGTCCCAGCCATCGCTGCGTCCCCTATTCTCTTCCTGCCAGGCCGCTCTGAGTGGATTCGAGGAGCGAAATCTAAAGCGTTCAAGCTCATGCTTTGCAAGAGGCACCCTGACCACTCCTGGCACTGAGACCCGTTTTGCCTGGTAACGAGTGCGTGGTGCTTTCGAAGGCACCGCGGGCTGGATGGGCGACGGCATCTGAACTGGAGCCGGTGGTGTTGAGTCGGCGAGATCAGGAGAGCGGACCTTCGAGCTTTGCGCAGGATTATGAAAGTTTGAGTCCGGGCGGCCAAAGCGCGTTGCGGATTGATCACTGGTGCTGCTCTCGCATGATGACGGCTTGACGAGGGACGGAGAAGTGACAGAAGTCGCTCGCGTGGCAGTAGATTCTGCTTCTACAGCTGAAGAGGCCGTCTCTGATAGCGGCATTGCAACACCTTCTGGTCCTGGCGAATCTGGGAGAAGTTGGGCCCTATTTGATAACGTACGGGCCTCTTCATCAACTCGATCTTCACCGCTTGCGGCTGCTAACGTGACAGTGCCGTCACCGCTTGAGGCTGCATCGGTTGCCGGCTGCTCCAGTGCGGACGGGAACGCCTGCTGAGCGCTGTTTACAACGTCGCGGGTTTCAATCCGTACATCGTGTGCACCTCGGGACTCGTGGTCGTCTGGCGTGGCCTCGTCCTCTTCTGGAGCTGGGCTGAGACGATCAGTGCTCATCGATTTTGCCTTGCCAGCCTTGGACTGCCGACGTCGAGGCGCATCCGCAGGGGCTTTTGACTCGACATCATCCAACATCGAGTGCGTTGGGTCTTCTCGACTCTCTGCCGCTGCCAAGTCGTCCTGAGGCACTGGAGCCTTGCCACGTATGTCCCCTGCTGTCGACTCTCGCGTCGACGCTCTTCTCGCTTTCTTTGGTTTGGTACTGGGTACCGAAGGGGATTCTTTCTGAATTCTACCCGAGGGCTTTGCATCCCACGCGTCCACTGGACTTGACGAGGCGGCAATAGCATTTCCACTTCCGCTAGAGCGCTTTCGCTTTGCAACAGAAACAGCTATTGCCTTTGGTGGCTCGCCATCCGTGGCGTGGCTGCCGGAGACGCTCTCATGAGACATTTCGGAGTGCAGTCTTTCCCGGACACGACGCTCGTCTGACCTTGCTTCTCCTTCATTTTGAGTTGCGGTCGGGAGCATGACCTCTCGCGACTGAGGCGAGACATCTACGCTGCGAGTGCCGTTCATATGGCCGTCGCGTCGAGCGCTGTGGGAGCTTTCACGAGCGTGCAACACAGTCATGCTGGGACCACCTTCTTGCGCGGACATGCGTCGAGGAATCGGGACTTGCACCAAGCTTCCGTAGTGCGAGGGAGAACCCGCCGCAGGTGACATTTGGTAGCCATGAGCCAGCGTTCCGGGAGGGTGCGAATGATAAAAGTAGCCTGCTGGCCCGCTGCTTTCCACTGAAGAGCCACCAGGCGTGGGCGGGGGCTGATACTCACCATACGGCCCAATGCCGCCAGGTGTGACTGGCGTGCGAGGCATGGCACCAGAAGTAGGTATGTAGCCGGGTGGAAAGTGGGAGGCCCCTGGAGTAGGCGGAAGTCCTTGTGGGTACGCCTCAGCAGGCGAGTCCATAGGTAGGTATTGCGGACCACCGTGAAGTGTCGGATACTCCGGAGGACCTACAGGCTTCGGACTCGCTGCAAAAGCCGGCAAGGTCGCCCTTCTGCTTTCGGGGCTTCGTCGAGGAAGCTGTGGCACAGCAAACTGCTCGACCTGTGCAAAGGGGCCAACAGAGCTTCCTGCCGTAGCTCTAGGATTAGGGAGAAGCGCAGCATGATGTGGGCTGCCTGTGTGGGGAACAATGCTTCGACTCGTATCAACGTGAAAGAGCCGAGGAGGGTGCCTTCTGACCTCGCCGGGCGACATTGACTGGCTAATCTGACTTGCGGCATTGGCTGTGCCAGGTGTCTGCAGTATCGAGGTGTGCGTGGGTGACATGCTTGCACCAAAGCGCGACGGAGGAATGACTACTTCGGTCCCTGCAACGGAGTGACTTGAACGAAGCACGGAAGGACTGGGATCCTGTCGCACAGATAGCGGCATAGCAAAGTTACCGCTAGA